AAAAAAGCCATTTAAACAGTTTGAAAACTGTATCTTAAAGATGTTTAAGAAAAACTAACTGCGAATTCTGTGAATATTTCCTACTTTCTCTCGCTATCCAAGACTATTCAGTAAACTTTCAGGGACAAAGAGGTCCGCGAAATTGACTCATATTTATCCACCTGGGTTAAATCTGATTTCTTATTGGCTCCCTGACCCACGTGGGTTAGGTCTGATTTCTGAGTGGCTTCTTTGATTACTCTGGCTTTTCAATGGTTTTGATAAGGGTTTCTTGAGGTTCCTTTTGAGCAAACACTCCAAAATACCGCGCACAAACTAGAAGTTTTAAAATGAACTCGCGGGTCAATTATAAACCTCATTAAATTTCTTTACTTTTTAGCGCAAAAATCACAACACAAACTGTTCAAAAATTCTGAGTTTATGGCAAACCTCTGCACTATATTTTCTGCAATGCAAAGGAAAGGCGCCCGATTGGAGAAACTCCCAAGCACGCGGAAATACAGTCCCTTGTTATATAACAACAGTTTATAGTTCAATCTAATTAACGAGCGCTCCCATTGGTTGATTTATGGTCACGTGGCAATGGCTGAATCTAAATCGTCTCTGGAAACATAGAGATTCGAAGGAAAACATAACTGTTTCCCTCGGGATCAGTGCATATCTAAGGGCTTAATTTGTATTTTCTATGTCGTTGAAGTATGCTAATATAACCAGGCGTCCGCTCACAGGAAGTGCTCGTAAAAAAGGCTGGTTTTCACTAGCGACGAAGTCGTAGTCGGAGTCGGAGTCGGAGACGAAAGAGTGCTTACGACCTAGTGAAAATCGAAAATCGGAGTCGTAAGTGGAGTCATAATCTCGACAGAATCGGAGTCGGAAGAATCAGAACGTTTCCATTTCTTCCGATTCCGTTTACGACTCCGTCGCTCAGGATCTAGTGAAAACAGATTGTCGGAGTCGGAAGCAGAAGCGGAAGAACAAGCCAATCACAAGGCCCGGAATCGAGAATTGTGATTGGCTTATTCTTCCGCTTTTACTTCCGACTGCGACAATCTAGTTTTCACTAGTTCGTAAGCGACGGAGTCATAAGCGGAATGGGTGTTCTTCTTCCGACTCCGTGGGTTTGATTTTCACCAGATCGTATCGCTTTAAATGGTAGCCTACGTGTAACAGTACCCACCCCCGAGGATAAACGTTTCTTCTTCGGGTTGCAGGTACGGCTGCACGTAGGCTACGCAAGGGAATAGTCAAAATTTTTGAAACGTAAAACTCCTCCCGGTGAAAGGCTTTCCACCTCCCCTCCTTCTACTCTCTCTTTCTAACTCGATAAAACCTCCTGAAACACAATAATCCCACCGAATTCACAGAAGCTTATGGATGCATTTTTTTGCTCGATTTTGTAGTCGTTATTACCGTTATTGCCTCGCAATAGGATCGATAACCAGCCGCTGTTCGGGAAAGGAAGCGCGCGCTATTCAGGAACACTGGACTCAGGAGAGCGGCCAAAATCGAGCCTACGACTTGCCTCGCGAGCTCGCTTTTAGAAAAGAACACATGTCTGTGGACAAACCAGTCTTGTGGGTCTCATCACCCATCAGGTCCTCCTGTGGTTTCTGAAGCCTGCAGCAGGTGGTTTAGCGGGGCAAAGCCCTGATAAAAATCCATAGAATGATTGATGCGGGCGCGTCTCGTCCGCTTTGTGTTTTCACGCACCCCTTGTTTGTCACAAACGTTTTTTCTCTCGCTTCTCGCTTGACGGACTAATAAAAAGGCGCGGAACTGACTGTACGGTCCAGAACATACAATTCCCTGGCCTACGCTTTTAACACAAATGGACGGAAAGGACAGACTAATCCCAAGTAGCTTGCTTACTTTCCACGCGAGATTGAAAAGGACCGTGCGTGTAATTAAGGGAGTGGAGACCTGAGCACTAAGGCAGAAGCAAATATTTTTTCAAATATTACTTGCTTGGCGCAGTGGCTTTGCGACCCCTCAGTCTCTTTATTTAACAGCACTGGGGGTTGACTAAGCTTACAAACACCGTTTGAGCAGTTCATCATCTTGAACCAAGAGCCCATGTCTTGAAGTAGTCCATGACTGACTCTGAGAAACCATTCCATTTCCTCAACACTATGTTAAAAGCCATGTCCTAATTTATCACTTTAAGTTTTCAAGTAGTTTTTCTCCAAATTCCCGGCAGTTTATAACCAATTAACTTTACACAAAAACGCAACCCTTATCATGTTCCAGATTTTTCTTGGTCAGGCCATGTACATACCGCAACTCACTAAAGATAAGTCGAAGAGACAGATAAATACAACAGTTAACAAAAAGTAATTTTCCATAAGTGATCGATGTAACAAGCTGCTGGCAAATATCTTGAAATAAAAGGAATGGAATTTGTTTGGAGACTCCGCTGCCGGGTTACTTTAATGTAAGGAGCATGTAACATCGACGTTCTTTGGTGCATTGAAAATATTCCAAAACGTTTTCTAATTTTTAAAATTTTTCGTGCCATCTTTGATATTGTCGGTGAGTATGTGTAACGACAGAAATTAATAATCCTGTCTTTGACATGGAAAATTTTCACCCTATTGTGATTGGCTCTAGTATTTTTACAATCGCTTTGACCTTGGGATTTCGAGGAAATCAGTAAATTTACATAATTATCATCTTTCACCTTGTTACTAAAATTTTGAACAAAGACATTTCACCTCGGAACTGTAAACAAGAGCCCAGTGAAGTCTCCCAATCTCGATTAACCCAGTGTGAAACGGCAAGCGTTTGTAATAGGTCACGAAAACATGAAGTCGGTCAAGTACATTTGTCGAGTACGATGCATTGATTAAGCCACAAGGATTCTAACACCAATAACAGATAACATACAAAACGAATAAGCTATATCATAGAGTTTTTCTCGACGTTTTGACGAAAGTTCAGTTTAAATAATTAATCGTACGTATAATGCATGTTGGTCGCGAGGTATATGTATACTAATTGAATTTTCAGGAAACGCACTACCTACAAATTTAAAGTTCCGTGTTTTTCAGGAGTAACAAGATATTGGGGCGCGACCGCCGCTGGCATACATGTCGAAATGAGCTTCTATATCGCCGAAGAGTGAAATCAAAATAATTTCGGTGGGAAAAGAAAACAAGAAGCGAAAAAAGCACCAATCAACGTTTGAACAAGTAAGTTTTTAAGCCACTCTGTTTGAGTAATTATTTTAAACTGATCTTATAAAGTAAAGTCAGTTACAACCAAATGTCAAACTTATAGGCTTATAAGAGTATTATGAGTATTTTTAGTTTTAACCTTAAGACATTTAAGAATGTTATGCTTCTTTTGAATATTTACATACACTACTTTAATACTCTGCAGATTGGGCAGTAAATTATCAATTTTGTTTTCGTGCGATTTTTTTACCTGGGGAAAAATTGACTTCCCTACAACTAAATTATTGTACATTAAAATTTAAAAGCGGAGAGAAAAAGCGAAATGTATCTTAACTTGTATGCTTTCTGCCTGAGTAGGAAAAAGTCATAACGCTCGCCCATTCACGTGGGTGTTTTTCAACGTTAACTTCCAGTAACGCTAATGAGTATGTGTGTGTTTTTGTTTCATTGTTTATTTTATGATCCTAACAGCAGACGCCGGACCCCGGTTCCGATTTGTGGTGTAAGTTAGCTTTTCGTTTTAGACATCATATCCCATCATTAGTTTTCCATTATTTACTATTATTTTATCCTTAAGATCCCTCTGCAATGAAACTCCATAAATTGTAAATTATTAAAGATCAAAAAGAGAGGGTCTCGATAAACAGCGGGAATCGAAGGGCACTTCTTTGGCCGAATGACTTATGGATATATAATTATCACAGAGGTACTACATCCTCTGTAGGTGTTCAATAATGTTTTGACCCCACGACTTAGCTTGCTGATACCGCTCGTTTTTGAAGTTCTTTCTCTTTACAGTAGGTGCAGTAAATTAATCCAATTGATTTTTTCAATATATTATTCCTAATTTCAGTATTTTCAAATGCTACATGATTAAATATTTGACCAACATTCCTTCTGATTCGTGGTTACCATATCAGAGTTGTAAAAAAATAAGGACTTGCTGCGAAAACAGTAAATGTTATTAGACCTTACTTGCAGTCCACAAATTGAAAACAGTGTGTATTGCTAGAACGTTCTTCGCTTTATTGTTGGCACAACGAATCAGCATGAGGTATAAAATTTAATGTCTGTTGTACTGACATGCCACCTGATAGAGAAAAACATCACCCATCAGCGCAGTTGAAGTCGTTTATTTAAACCCAACCTTATGGCTTTGTGTTTCATGTAAACCTTAGAGTACAGTAGTGCTTCTTTTGCCAGCCTTTGCGCGCGGCGAAACTCCAAGAAGCTAAAAACAGAAAAGGGCATTTTTTCGTTCTCTGTGTAAACCTTGTCAACCCCCCATTGTTCTAATATCATTCAAAAATAAATTTTTAAGTATATAGCTCGTAATCCGATGTCTGTTTCACGAAAATTTGGGATCATTTCAAACACAAAAACCACAAGCGTTTTTGAATGAACACGGATGTAGAAGAAATGGTCTAGAATTTGTTTTGGCCTTTAATTTGTCGTGGAACTTGACGGTTTTCCATTATTACTATTTTTTTTCTATGCCTAAGTAAACTGCTACTATGTTTAACTCTGAGTATATGTTTACAATTACAGGGTTTTACTACAAAGCATGATAGCAGTGGTGATAGGAGTGGCTCTGTTTATGACAGTATCACAAGCGGATGAAAAATGCAAAGGAGGAAACATCAATCAACATCTCTGTCAAAAGACATGTAACTTGACCAGTTGCTCGTGTGATATGACTGATATTTCCCCCTTCACCAGCTGCGCACAAAAGTGCCATTTCTTCTCTTCTTGTCCTAAAATGATTTGTTCTGGTAAGCCGGATGTTTTTAGACTGTTGACAGTCCCTCTCGAAATTCAGCAGGGGTTATGAGGCTTTACCATCCTTGTCTAGTCTTCTTCCCTCCTCTGCCGTACCGCGCTTTTCTCGCCTTCTTCCCTAATTGGCCACGGCCATACCGCCTTTTTGCGTTCGCGATGGCTAAACACTCGTCTAAATGACCTTTAGAGAAAAAAAACTGGCTGCCAGAAGTAAAAGTATTTTTCTATGTAAAGAGGGATGCCCTCAGTATTCAGTAATTCGAGCTCAAGATCTAATTCGCGTACGAGCACCCTTCCCCAAGGTGCTACTGGTATTCAGACCCTATTCACTGGATGCTACCTAATAGCGTTTCAGATGGGAAAGCTTACCCTCCCTTCCCTCACCTCTCTTGCATATAAGAAATCCCGAGGCTAGATTCCAGAGGTCTAAAGTAAATCAGTGTATTGCGTGGCGAATCTTTAGAGGGGGTAGTGGGCGGGGGGGGGAAGAGGGTTGAGAAGTGAAGAAGGACCTTTCTTGTTCGGGAAAGGTATAGTTGAGTAAAGGTGGAGCAGTTTTTGGTCCAGATTTTAACGGAATTTTAGGCTCTCTTGACTTTTCCAGTTATTTTTCAGCGAAAAGGGGTTGATGGGAAATGGCAGAATCAGTTGATCCACCTGCTAGTCCTTGAGGCGAACCCTTTGCCTTAACTAACATGTATTTCTTATGTTTCGTTAGGAAGACATGGTTGTTCGCAGAGGTGCTTTTTCGGTCACTGTAACATGGAATGTTCATCTAGTCAGTTCTGCTCACAGTCATGTGTATGGAGAGCCAATTGTGTTCAGATCACGTGCTCATCGGCTATTTGTCACCAGGTCTGCGCAAACTGTACTATGGAGTGTACCAGTGGAGTGGAGAGGTGCGATCAGATGTGTCTTGGGGGTAGATGTGAGATGAAGTGTCAAGCAAAGCATTGTAAAAGACAATGTTTCAAAGGAAGATGTAATTACATCGGGCGTTCACAGAGTAAAGCATCAGTTCTGCAAAGTGAGACGTTAGCTGTTCTGATCGCTTGTGTAAGGCTCTTATGCTCATAGAGAACATGATGTAGTGATAAAGATCAAAGAGACAGTCAATCAATCAATAAATCAATCAATTTATTAGTGTCAAAACGTGGGCTGAGGGTGCCCTCCAGATCCGAGCCAGAGGCTCAACCTCGATCCCAGACTCTCTGTCTGTCTCTCCTTTGTGTGCACATTCATTTTTTTCTTTTTCGTTCTCTGTATGTGTGTCTGTGTCTCTGTGTGTGTGTGAATGAAATCGTGTCCTGTTTTTTTTTGTTCATATATTCTGTAACTTTATTGCAATATTTTTTCCGCTTGGCTCAGCCACTTAGCTCGATTAGCCTTAGCTATTTCTAAGTTACTGTGCTCTGTTTTTCATTGTTATTTTTTCACATTGCATGTATTTATTTTTATTGTAAAATTTTTCTGGGCACGAAATAAAGATTGTTGTTGTTTGCCTGCTTTCGACAAGGGAGGCAAAGGAGAGAGAAACTGGGATCAAGGTTGCTGGAGGCTCGTGTGAAGCTGATGTATAAAACGCTTGACAATAAGTAGAGTAAAATAACGAAACATTTAAAAGAACTAATGTAAGTAAATATCAATTAAAAATAAAATATGTTAAAAATATTTAAATATAAATATCAGTAAAAATACATAAATGCTTCACCCACAAACGCTGGGAAAAAACCAAGTAGAGAATAGTAGATATACAACTCAAATAAATATAAGAAAATATTACACTACCCCAATATTAAGAATATGGCGATAAAATTCCTAAGATTTTAGCGTCATAGCTTGAGGCATAAAAGGGTGAGTGTAATGCTGGTAGTTATAGAGGTGCTACGTCACGGTTTGCACTTCTTGAAAAGTTCAGCCTAATTTTTTCAAGTTCGTCGCTTGTAATCCGCGTTAATCTTCTCCAACCGTAGCTATAATTGTTCCTTTATGTTTTATTAATATTTTTTAGTGCTCTTCATTCTTAGTAAACTACTATTTTCAGGTGTCCTTCGATTTAAAGGTAATTTTGTACGCGGCTAAAATAACTCAGAATGCTGTGCCTGAGCTCCTTTAAGGCTACGCTGCATGGTTCAGTTTAAGACTTATTAGAAGAAAATTAATTTGTGATCTATCATATTAAAGTTTATATAGACTATATTATTTGGTACAACCATACTAACAACCCATATTAGCCAATTAGTTTAAGAGAAAACATAAGGCCAAGGATTTCAATATTAAACCTTCAAAGATTTCATCCCTTTTGTATCTGAAAAATTAGCTAGAATCTAACAACATGGGAGATTTTGTAAATAAAGTATTAAAATGATAAAATTAGAAAAGTAATTTGAGATATAAATCTGAGAAAAAATAAAATGACAATGCAACCTCGACCTGCTGATATGAAAATGGGGAGAATTACCAAATGGTTAATACTCAGGACTTCTGACCCAGTCCAAAGAAACAGAAGCTATAACTTTTGGACGCAGAAAAGTCGAGAGAGTGGTGTTAAAGGTTTAAAAAAATAAAATTATCAAATTAGTTGCTTCGTCGGGTAAGTTTACTTCGGTTTTGAATTCAGCAAGATCCGATGAAATAGGCCCTTTTCGTCTCCCTAAAGCCGACCTATGCTTACGTAAAATATTTTCCCTGTGTCGCGATTAGCGGTCCCTGGGGAGGAGTACGTGACTTGCCATAAGGAGGTTTGTGTCACGATATAAGCTGATATATATTGCGCATTTTATTGACACTGGAAGCTCACGAATGACCCCTTACCATGGCTGTCCGAGATAATTTGCAACTTTCTTCCTGCAGCAGTATAATTATAATCTTTTATCTTCGGAAACATCGTTATCCCGCATTCGACCCTTCGTGTGGAACAAGCCGCTTTGTACACTTCCCGCCGGAACGTCAGATTTCTCTACGACACTCACAAAAAAACAATGCTGTGAAAACACTCCACAAATGACAAATATCCTCTAGAATATAGTTACGATAACTTTCACGGCAGGTCCCACAAGATTGATCTCGGTGGGAGAAGGATTATCCTCTGTCACCGAGCCCAACTTTGGAAATTGGAGCGATAGCCTGCAGAATAGGCGGATTAGCGGGGCAGATAGCGAAACGCTAGAGCGAAACGCGACACACGCTAATCCGCCTGTTCTGCAGGCTATTGGAACGACGGTCTAATATTCAACTCGCCACACTTGCGCGGAAGAGTTCAGCAGGCCCCTTTAATAGTAAAGCCTTTTCGAAAATACTTCGAGTACAAGAAAATTGTTGACCGTGTTAGTATGCTCAGCTGAAGATGATCATCCTTTCTTGGTTCAGCATAAGACAAAATCCGCAGGTAACGTGTGAAGCGAGTACAGATAGCTGCAAATGTCTCACGATATTTGTACTCTGAGAAAACGGCTTGATACAAAAGTGCCAAAAAGCTTTAAAGACTGGATATTGGAAAAGAAACCGTCGAATCTCTATTGGTCGGTGTTTCTTTCTGCCCGTCAGTCGGGCTACTCGTGAAAATATGCAACAATAACAAAATGTCTAACAATANCTGTATATTCGTTTTTGATTTCGGCTGAGAAGTCTACTTCACCGCCGCCCTCTCCGTTGAAAAACGAAGACTGGGTACGACTCTGAACGTGATTAGTTCTGATTGGTTAGTTTCCGTCACGCGTGACTTGTCCCGCCATTTTTTGAGAGAACATTTGCAGATCACGAGGAAATTTCAAATTCACGTGACTGAAAAGCTTATCTTTCTTTTCTTCTCGAATCTGTCAACAGTTTGATGCCATTCTTCTTTGATTTGTTGAGTACAACGTCTTGAAGGAAGGTTTATTTAAAAAACGTCTGGGTATTTCTCGGTCGTATCTAAAGTTGGTAAACTGAATTAACTGAGCTTTCGACAGAGAGAAAAAACCGATAGAATTTTCACGTACTGTAAACAGCACAGTCTGACCTCTTTCACGAAACGGGTCAGCGAACTTTGTTTGTACGTGCTTTGACAATTGTATGATCATTTGACGCTTCTGGACCTTCTGGCAGTCCGTCAAAAACCTTTCTGGAAACCATCAAAGAGATATCTTAACTGGCATCTCCACCGACATACTTCTTCACCAAGGTAAAGGAGTTCAATCTTACAAGCACTTGGAAGAAACAACAGATCTTAGCCTTCGTGATCAAGTTCAGGTGAAAATCACTTGATCTATCTGGAGCTGTGCGTTGCACCCATCGGTAAGTCTTGGCAATTTTGCTATGCTAGAACCAAGTGTGTAATCACGTGCAATTTCAATACAGAAAGAACATCTTAAAAGATTCTGGTTTTGTTTGAACGATGTACGGTTTCTGATGAGGTTATTTCCGGTTGAAGAGTTTTCACGGTCCAGACGTTACAACGCCCCCCAAAAGATTAAAATATTTGCCCAAAATTTTCAGGTATCTTCCTTAATCTTCTGTTTGTTTCTTCATACTGAAGTAAACGACCGTGATTGTGCGGGTTTCTCTCGGTTTGAAGGTAATGCAAAACGCAATGCAAACGGAACTCTTTATTTTCAGAGAAACACCGGGTTGATGCGGTGGTTTTATGCATCTTGAAGTTTGATCTTTCAAACAGTTGCCATTGATCAATATTTTTATGTGGTGCTGTTTGCTTTTAGACGATTTTGCGAAAAATTTCAATAATTCGGGAACGTATTTTGTAAATTCTCAAATTTATTGGGGCTCGTTGAAGTCAAGACAGTGTCTACAAGAAATCCTTTATCACGTGAATTTCTCTTCCTCAACGACGATGCCAACGACAATACTTTATAAACGTGCGTGGGGAAAGTGTTTAGAATTAATCAGAGAACAGAGTCGTTAATATTCGAGGAAATGTCCGAGCAAAGGACGGAAATTAAAGGTCACCGGTATCCTTCAGCAGCCGGGAACAATCATGTTTTAATATAATTTGTGGATGCCACTGAGGATTTTAAAACTTTAAAACCCCTTTCTTTTCTGGTCTAAAAAAGTAATCCTTTCATCTGTTGTAGACTAACAAGCAGTATGATATTTGTTCTGCCTTTATGAATGTGCGAAAAAAATTCCAAAAATTCTGGAATGCCCATTGAAACTGAAACTTCCCTTTGTTTTTTGTACTTTGTTTTTAAAGTCATCGATGACAATATGTTTTATTTGTTATTCCAGAATTGGCGTACTTTATCGAGAAATAGACCCTTTCTGGTTCGGTTAGAGCTTTCGGTCAAAGTTTCTTTCTTTCTTTCTTTCTTTCTTTCTTTTTTTTTTTTTTGATCTTTGGACCCCCAAACCGTGCATGTTTTTGAAATTACGTTAAAACCATGGTAACTAGAAGCCGTGACCCGGTATCAAAGGAGCTGGCCACGAAAATTCTGGCGAACTGCCCATCTTAAGAAAAGTACACCAACTCGATGGAAAAATCGTAGATGTGGAATTTCTCTCACTTCAAAACAACCTTTTTCGAACTTTCCATCGATTTTTGACAAAGACAATGAACGTTGTATGCGGTTTGTTTGGAAGAGACATATGACAGACCGATGCCAAGCCCCCGGCCGGCTTATTAATCCTCACAAAGGCCATTGTTCACAGCTCTTTTGTACAAACAAGTGTACATATGTCAGCCTGAACTTGACTCAATAGACAGTTAGAGCCGGAGGAATTTATTCAAATCAAGGTAAATGTTCTGTTTGTCGATTTATCCAGTTTTGGGATGACCCAGCAAGTATGTTTAATCGCTCCTAACTTTAAACACGTAATATTTCCAATATGGCTCCCAACAAAAGACGCATTGTCTCTAAAAAATGAAAACCGAACAATTACGAACAATAGTCAAAGGTCTGATAGCTACAGTGAGATTTCACAGGCTGTCAAAATTCAAATCGGAAGGTGCTGTTTCGATGCTGTTACCTTTAGCATCAAGGTGCACGAGCGACGAAATTGTGTGCTTCGAATTACTCGAAAAAAATGGTTTGTTTTCCCTATAAGAATAACAGTTATGAGGTATCTTTTGCATGTTCGTCTTTGCGCGTTAGGTTTCAAGAGAATGATAAGAGTTCGCGACTTGTGTTTTACTCAATGGGGTAATGTGAGCATTTCCTAAACATGTTTTGACCAAATTTGTTTACGCCAGCGTGCGATCAGGTAGTTTCCCCGTGACGAGGTTAAACTTTGCACCATTCTCAGTCACGGAAGTCTGCGTGCATGTCTTTGTCAATCTCGAGTT